GAACCACGACTGCTTATTAGAAGTTTTTTTTTTTAGATTCCACCGAATGGATATGTATTCTGGCACAGATAGACTGACAGCTTTCATTTCAGTTGGCTCCCCTCACGGGAAATAAGAAACATGTCGTAAACGAACACCCCCAGTGATACTATGATTGGATGAAGGATTACTTTCGAAGTAGGTGAGCAGGTACATTAAGTGACTTCACACTATCAAAAAAGGTGGTCAGCGATTCAGGCTACACAACAAACCACTTACATGATCCATACGTAAGAGGGGGCATAGAGGGATATGAGAAAAAAAGAGAATAAAAACGCTTATGCTTCCAAGACGAGCAAGTTCCCAATTTACCATCATCCATATGTGTTGTGGCAAATCCTATTCCGATCACCTGCTGTGGTTACCTAGAACTTTTGCAGTTTCGCCAATATTCTTTTGATGCGGGCGAAAATTGAGCGCTAATCTCTGATATATTCAAAGCATCACTCTAGCCAAGCTTATGCTTGGTTTGCGTCGTTTTACTTCTGACAACTATTGGCACATCTTTGAATGTACAGCAAATAAAATTTGTTTTACGAAGGCATGAGTGGAAATAGCACTTTTCTGACTTACTTCGAATCATAGATGGATTAATGGGAAAATCCAGCTAAGTAGTCGAATGAAAACGGATAAATATATTCCTCAACAACATGGATATTGAAAGGGCCAATGGGCTACCTTTCTCCATAAACTCAAAAGAAGAGATTACGGCTTTATAAGCAATTAGTTTTCAAAATAGTTACAATGTACACACATGCAATACACCAGCGCCTATACTGGCTAGAATAGCAGAAGATTTTAGTTAACATCTGTAAGAGATACCTAATTCTGCAGTTAATGACATGAAATATTACAATTATCTCGAATTTATGAAGTAGTCATCATCACATTCACCCTAGACAGAAGCCAAAACGAGGCAAGCAATATTCTGTACAATTCTCACTGGAAAAATAGGATGTAGGAACAGGAAGCCAGCCTTATCATGTGAAATGGGAAGATCATACAAAATCGTAAATGCGTACACTTTGCAAAAGAAAAGTACGAGTTTTGTAGCAAACAGCTTCCTACAGCGATAATTTCGCATTCAGTGAGAAAGCACCTATGCCTAGCAAGATGTTCCCCCAAAAAGAGCTCGAGCGATCGTGTTAGTATCGGCGCTAGCACCTGTGCCAGCTCCGCCAAATCTGCCAGCTCCAGGATACGGAGGGGCCGCGTTCCTGTCCTCGTCCCGCTCTGTCACCAGCTGTTTCTGCGCCCATACTATCATCCGCAGCAGTGCCTCGAGTCGAGGAGCTGCTGGCCGGTTTAATGCTCGTAGTACGGCGCCATTAACTTCTGTTGAAACCTGAAGCTTTGGATTATCTATAGAAGCGATGGTTTTGAAAATTAATCACGTAAAAATTTGCTCATTTAACGAACTCCCTCTTCATACGGTAAAAATTGTTCACACGTACAATCGTATCTGTCAATATTTCAAATGACTGATTAGACTGAAAGCCCAAGGAGAAGAGGATATTGTGAGGATCACAGTTTTATGAAGAAATGAACCCGCAAAAACAAAAACGTGGAAAAGCAATGAT